TTAAAAAGATTATGCATACGAATAAGAAAATATAAAATATTCACTGGGTTTAATGCTTGAAGAACCACGTTGTCAACGTGTGAAGACTCACATGGTCAAAGTGTAAAAAGTAAGAATTTACAGTAAAGTTAACAAAAGACTGATATAAATGTTTGCTTGCTAGTTAAATTTCACTCAAAGCAACTTGAGGGCTATCTGCATTAGCCGTTCCTAATTAGAAGTGATAGACTAGAGGAAATGCTGTTAGTCAGCACCACCCACCGCCAACTCTTTTAACAACGAAAAAGTGGAATTTATCCTAACAGTATAATGCTCTCTCGGCTGAAAGAGCGAGCATGTTCGGTGACGGGATTCGAGCCCGCGTCTCACAGAGTGCAAGTCTAGCGTTCTAACCAACAGGCCAACAGAGGAAGGACGACAACCGTTCATCAGTGCTAAAGACAAATTAACTATCTAATGAAATATTCTGATTACCGATAAAGTTCAAAGGTTATTTGCTAGTTCATGCACTTAATGCAAGATAACTAAATATACTCTTTTTGACGCTTAACTATATCAAAATAAGAAAAAGTTACTCTCCAAACTACCTCAGCAAGTACAATTCACTTCCAAGAAACGAAACTCCCTTGTTTATTGTTACAGTTTTAGTGTTTTTAGTTGTTTTTTCTTTTTTTTTACGTTATATGAATATCCACAGTAAGTCAACAGACAACATTGTAGCAGCATGGTGGTGATATAACATCCAAGAGTGAAATAAATTCAAAAAACACGAAACTCGTTGGAGATATTTCTTACTTTCGTGATAGAATTAAAAAACTAGCTTATAAAATTAGTAATCTAAAACTGAATCCCAAAATAATGGCTTAGAACTATAAAATAAGAATACTAATCTTAATATTACCTTATTCTTTCTCACACTTGGAAAGTTAATATATAAATTCATGTATAATTAGAACAATGCATAACCTCATAGCAGACCCCCTCTATTGATAAACCAAAGCTCTAGGCATACTATAATGTTCACGAATTCAAAACGTATTTCACAATCCAAACCAGTCTCAGCTCCTACCAAAAAAATAAAATACGTGTTGTAACCTTCTTAGAAAATGAAAATATTTGTGTCTTTGAAGTTAAGCACAAAGTTACACAATGGGCTATCTGTGCTCTTCCCACCACGGGTATCGAAATCCGGTTTCTAGCGTTGTAAGTTCGCAAACAAACCACTTTGCCTGCACTGGGGAGCTTTGGAAATTTTGGGATCGCCATACAATACTTACTTTAAAACTAAAGATAACATCGAAAAAATATATAATATAATCTTACAGGTGTGATGAAAAATAATAATGTGTATTGGACGCTCATATTGAGCCATTGTTATTGTACAGTATCAATGTTATATACTCTTTACTATTGGACGCTCATATTGAGCCATTGTTATTGTACAGTATCAATGTTATATACTCTTTACTATTGGACGCTCATATTGAGCCATTGTTATTGTACAGTTGATAAAGAGTATATAACTTTGATACTGTACAATAACAATGGCTCAATATGAGCGTCCAATACTAAAGAGTATATAACATTATACTGTACAATAACAATGGCTCAATATGAGCGTCCAATACTAAAGAGTATATAACATCATTTTAAATAGTATTTTGTCTATTTTATGTCAGTGCTGATGAAGCCTTTCCTCGGCTGGGTTAATCAAGAGCTTCTTATATCAGGCATTTGGGAAGCAACTGAATTGTTTTCTATATTACATTTCGAGCAACGTATGTTGTGTTATGTTTCGAACAACGCCAGCAACTAATTTCCACACCTAATGCCATATAAAGTTTCATTGGATGACAATCTAACTCATAGACCTATACATGTAGTTGAGCTGATGAGAGATGACATAGCTTTTCGCTGGTCAAGACGTAAGTTTTGTGACTTAATGTGTTTATACTACGGTTCAACCAATCGAAATACGAATAAAATCTCAGTAATAAACTTAGCTTCAAAGCTGAGTACACTCAAACTCTCTACCGGAATAAAAGCGTATAAATGTGCGTATATATTTGAATAGAGTACACTCAAACTCTCTACCGGAATAAAAGCGTATAAATGTGCGTATATATTTGAATAGAGTACACTCAAACTCTCTAGCGGAATAAAAGCGCATAAATGTACGAGTATACCTCAATAGAGTACACACTAACTCTCTACCGGAATAAAAGCGAATAAATGTGTGTGTATATCTGAATAACACACCAAGTTATAATGTTATAAGTTGGAAGAGGCGCGAATCAAATATTTCTATGCTGGGCTGTTTTCGAAGAAATACTTGCCAAGTTTAACAAGACTAACAGTGGCCAGGTAGGCGGATAAATTCATTTTAAATGTTTTTAATTTTGGTTATCTAATTATTAATTACTTGATATATTCGCCATATATCAACATTCAATTAAAAGACGAATGTGGGTGCCTAGCTGCCTGGTAATCGCCATATATTAACATTCAGTTAAAAGACGAATGTAGGTGTCTAGCTGCATGGTAATCGCCATATATTAACATTCAGTTAAAAAACGAATGTGGGTGCCAAGCTGCCTGTTATTCGCCATATATCAACATTCAGTTAAAAAACGAATGTAGGTGCCTAGCTGCATGGTAATAGCCATATATTAACATTCAATTAAAAGACGAATGTGGGTGCCTAGCTGCATGGTATTCGCCATATATCAACATTCAATTAAAAGACGAATTGGGTGCCAAGCTGCCTGTTATTCGCCATATATCAACATTCAATTAAAAAACGAATGTGGGTGCCTAGCTGCCTGGTTTCTTTCTATAGTAAAAATCACAAAAGTTCAGAGTAGGAAGACATTGTCATGCTGTCTTCCTGGCCATGTCGGAATCCTATCAAGATGATGGATACAAGAAGTGGAATTTTGCTATTTAGTACCAGAAATCCACTGTAGTTTACGTGAAAATATATTCTTCATTTAAGGGAAAACATATCACGTAGTCAAATTAAAATAGTCCAAACTCACTCCTCAATAAAAAAAAAGTTTTATAAAAAAAAATATTATTTGCTCAAACTTGAAGACTACACTGTGATTTGGGGGATTATTTAAGGATTAAAAGTAAAACTTGGGTCAACTCGAATCCAATTTGTCTATATCAAAAATTAAATGTTCTTCCAAAGTTGAAGTAAATATAGTAAACTGTAAGCGACCGAATGTCACAAGATAACAAACGGTAGTATAGTTTAATCTCATTTGTTATACGTTTAATGAAACAAAATCTGCTTTATATTGTGGTGTGCATAAAGGCTAATCCTGCTACAATGAACGAAATATTTCTTCCTCTTGATGATGAAGAGACCACTCTTGGAAAGCACCTGATCTTTTGAGTCGTTTTGTAGACTTTTATATATGTATATCATTAATACTTACTCTACTCCTCATTTCTTGTTAGTGTTCATACCATACGTCAGTTTCATACAAATAGCTAGATATGAACCCAAGCCTATGATTATATATATATAGTCGTATTTCTTATTTCCAACCAGAGTTACTTTAAAATGGCGAGAAACTGGCCACAGCACAAATGATATTTTTCAGTGCAATGATGGAATAATACTTTTTAACCAAAAATGGCAGAATACACATCACAGCTAAGCATTAAAATAGACCTGTTTCGCAAACTTATTTTAAAATCTATGTAATTGCTTTTAATTTCCATTTGTAATATTATTTTACAGTATTAACAGAGAATAAATTTATAGTTTTATTACAAATTATTACAAATCGTCTCTTGTATTGCGCGCTGTTTCTTCAAGTAAAAACAACCTTAAGAGATCTTATTGTGTTCTGAAATAGATCTTTTACTGATAAGACGGTGGCTTATCATTAATAGCATAACATACGTTGAAATGTTAACTATATCTTTTGAATTACATGATATGAAAGACGATTACGGATTACCGCCTACTGCAATAAATAAAACGAATGCAAAGGGTGAACATACGAACGTAGATTATGATTTTCTTATTCAATACCTCAACAAAAGTAACATAGCAATGCTTTGGCCATGCAATATCTTTCAACAACAATGGAACTCGCTATAAAAGCAGTTATGAATTCTTCAGCATAAAAGAGCTCTTATGGAACATTCAAACCATAATATTGCTGTAGTTGTGATATTAGTTTCAAACTTGTTTGCAAATTTTCAATGTATAACTCTGATGGACTTATAAAATTAAAATAATATCAAAACATTTAAGGCACAGTTTTGATGACGTTATTAAATTTAAACTTGTATAAATACTTTCAAAACACGACTCTGATGACCTTACTAGACGTACACTTGTATGAAAACATTTTAAAGCACATCATTGACGATCAATTTTAATTATCTCAGAATATAGTTTTTGTATGGCATGAACTAATTCACAAAATTATACGAATAAATCTACTTCGCTTATTCTGGTTTTCGTTAAATTAGTTTACTGTACCCTCATATTTGTTGTTATTTAGGATACTAAACCACCGGTCATTTCCAAACAGCACAAAGCACATCGTGTTTTGATCTCTCCAAGTCTTCAAGGAAGAATTATGTTTCTGGTGATTTCGACGGCAGTTGTTCTAGAATAAGTTGTTTCTTCCTCTTTTCTTCTTTACGTTTTAGAAACTGATTTCAGTAAATTTTGAAATAGTTTATGGTATATATAAAAAAGGATAGTTTAATAGACACATACAATGAGAAAATGTGACGGTTTTCAACACAAATAATTCAATGAAATGTCGATTATTATTCCATTGTAGGATGTCACGAAAAGGGGCGTGTTAGTGCTTTTGATGTCATCATTAAGGCGGAGTAAGTCTACATTGATTGGCATAGCTGATGTTATATTTTGCTGCTGATTGGTTGGCCTGTAAGGGAGGCGTAGTTGCAAAATTCACTGCAGAAGCGAGGTAGATTAAGTCGGCCTACTTTGAACTCTAGGGAATTACTCTACAGAACATACATCTATGTGAGATCTATGTTGGTGGTGTACTTTTGTAGGTTAGCTAGATAGTAAATCTAAGCCTAAGGAAACGTTTTACGAGCCCTTAGTGAGAGAGCTGGGGTCTTGCGCGAGAGCAAAGACAACTAACTCTACTGAAAGAGGAAGATTATTTCATCATCCACATTTATTTCAGTGTTCTCATCAAGTGCGCTACATGGTATAAATATGATTATGTGTCAGTGAGTATGTGTTAAACCAATGATTCTAGGCCATATGAACGACGGGATAAACCCACCACAACCTCCTTCACTCTCCATAAACAGCGGAGGTGTTCCGCTCCAGGCTGGCTGCCCAAATGTCAGCCCTACTTCATCTCCTCCCGCAGTGCCGTCTTTTGGCTTTACACAGGAACAGGTAGCTTGTGTTTGTGAGGTTCTGCAGCAGTCTGGAAACATTGATCGCTTAGGACGTTTTCTTTGGTCACTTCCTGCTTGCGAACATCTTCATAAGAACGAAAGCGTGCTCAAAGCGAGAGCCCTCGTAGCGTTTCACCGAGGCAACTTCAAGGAGCTGTACCATATCTTAGAAAGCCACAATTTTTCGCCTGCCGCCCACCCAAAGTTGCAGACTCTTTGGCTGAAGGCACACTACATTGAGGCAGAGCGAATTCGAGGACGACCACTTGGAGCAGTCGGCAAATATCGCATACGTAGGAAATTTCCGCTTCCCCGCACCATCTGGGACGGGGAAGAAACCAGTTACTGCTTTAAAGAAAAGTCCCGGAATGTACTGAAAGACTGGTACACACATAACCCTTACCCCTCCCCAAGGGAGAAGAGAGAGCTTGCCGAGGCCACAAACTTAACGACCACCCAAGTCAGTAACTGGTTCAAAAACCGCCGACAGAGGGACAGAGCAGCGGAGGTAAAAGAAAGGTATGTCTGTTTTCATACAGTAATGAATAATAACAAACTGTTTTATGAAAACTATTGTATATTGGTTGTGTATCAATAGAAACCAGGTCATTCTTGGGAAGCCAGATAATTCTGCTCAAATTTTACCATGTCCAGCATAAGATAGCAGTTGTTTTTAGTTTTCTTTTTTTGTAAAGGTTATAGAGGATTAAATCCATCCCATGAGGCACATAGGAGCCAGTGCTTAACTCCGGTTTCAATGTCACAAGCGGGTGAGAATGTTGGCCCATTCCCCCCAGAACGGGATACCAGTCCATCAGCCGGTATCCGTTTTACAGCTAGGTAAACTGAAGCAATTGGAGTAAAGTGTCTTGCCTAAGGTGCGGACAAGCCTTGAACTTGAACCTTTAGATTACGAGTCCAGAGCTCTAACCACCAGGCCTCGACATTCCCGATCTTTTGTAAAACTATCATATAATTCAAGTTAATTTTATCTCATTATTGGCACACATTTTAGATTTTCTTGCTTATCAAAACATACAACAAACTTTGATTTTTATGTAATTAACCGTGCGATTTACTGTCTGTTTGTTTGTAGTCAGTCACAAAGCCACACAATGGGCTATCTGTGTTATGCCCATCACAGGTATCGAAATCCGGTCTTTAGTGTTACAAGCCATCCGTCAGACTTGCCGGTGAGCCATTGGTGGAGGGGGCTAACAGTTTTTTAATAGCTTGAATCAGTCGTTCTTCAGTCTTATATATATATATATTTGCATAATATATAGCTGAGCGGTAAGTTTGGGGCTTATAACGCTAAGAATCGGATTTCGATACCCGCGGTGGGCAAACCACATATAGCTCATTGTGTAGCTTTGTGCTGAACAGCAAACAGTGTATAATATTTTCAAATTTCTACCCATACAAATAAAGTTATTAATATAATCAATTTGTTTTTTTTTTGTCAGCGGCTTTATGATCAACTTATGAAATATTAACAAACGTATTTTGGAACATTCCATACTTAATTATTAAAGTTATTTCTACTACAACTCATTTAACGGTCTCAACTTAAGAGCACATTCACTAATCACACAATATTTTTGTATAACTAATTTTGGCATGCTCTTTAACTTCAAATCAACCGTTAATTCATAACTTAAGTTTATTAACATACCTTTAACAATGAAGCTTCAAAATACTATGGAATTAGAACTGCCAAATTATTGTGAGCGCGGTTTCAAAATTTACTATAAACGTCTTGAGCCACCATCTGGTGGAAATAGTTAGAACCTCATTGCAAGTAATAGTGAAATCTGACTAATAAGAATGAATAAACAGATAAATAAATTGATATATTTATTTATTTTTATAATAAAGTCACGTTTATTACACATTCTCTAGGTTTCTTTTTTATTAAACATCATGATCATTACTTAAAGCATGCTTATATATCTAGAGATTCAGTGTTTTAATATGTATTTAGATAGTTTGTTTTGATTTATTCTAAAACGAAGAATAAAACAAACTATATATATATATATAATTATTTATATTCTCATTTTCATGTTTGGGGATGTTGCGAATTCCTTCTTTAATATACTGTTTAATATTTTTATTTTTTCTTTGATAACGTTGATAGTTTTCTGTTTGATGATATTGTTATTGTTATGATATTGTTAAAAATATTTGTAGTTTTTCTTCTATAACATTGTTATTCTTCTGTTTGTGTATGCTGCTTTCCCTGCTATTATTGCCTTGTCTTATGATGTTATTCATTGAGTATCAGTAGCTGTTAAATTTTTCTTTCATTCTTAAAGAAAACTTTTTATAAAACTAATTTTTACATATGAGTTGTATTTCCGTTTACAATGTACTTCAAACAATTAACGCAGTTGAAGGTTGCACCTTGCTGGAACAATCTGTGCCGTTTGAAAGCGGGATCTGTGAAATAAGCGCGATAAAAGGCGGAATGCAATATTGTCTGTTTTTTGATAAGTAATCGTTGTGGAACAGACGTTTTCATTACCATAATTATATAACAAGACTTGCCATTGTTACATTAAACCAAACACATATATCAAACGTCGTCATGGTATAATTATCTTTACATTGGAACTTCTTTATTATATACCTGAAACTTTTATGAGTTTAAGCCTATATACTTATATTATTACAGAAGTTTTACTGTCTTCTGAACGTAATTCTAAAATCACGTTCTGTTTAATTTATAAATAATAAACTACAGATGAGTCATCACTTGTTTATCTATTAGACCTGAGAAAACAATTTCCCATACGTTATTTTCTTATCTTGAGCAATGTTGTTTTTCTTTAGATGTTTTTTTTTTCAACCATAAATTAAAGTTGGCGTAAAAGTATGATGGAATTCCTAGCCTATCATTATTAATATCAAACAGTTAAAATAATTAAACACAAGAACGCAAGGAAAAGAACACAATAAATGTACCAAATCTTCACTTGACGTATGCGTTTAGACGTTTGTTGTTATTGTTTTAGCGTAAAGCTAAACATGGGCTATCTGCGATCTATCCACCAGGGGGAATCAAACCCTGGATTTTGGCATCGTAAGTGTGTAAATAGGGCAACACGTCTAGGAAAACGAAACTAGGAACTCGCACACAATCACACATTTTCAAAATTTGATATGGAAAAAGAAAAGGTGGTTACAATTTAAGAATTCCCAGCCGATATCTCTGAAGAGAAGTCTTCTATAAGAGTGTCAATTAACATATCATAACTTTCTCTGGCAAATGAAAAAAAACAAAAAAAAACAGATACATTTATCTAAAAGTATATAAAAAATAAGACTTCTTTGTGATTTTCATACTTATATCTTTATCAATATAAAATACTTTAAACGTTATTAATATTTATAATTTCACCGTGATCAACTGAAAAAGTTTCATCTTCTCTATTCGTTTACCCTTTATAATTTATATTTCTATAAAAAACACCCATTGTTTGTCTTACAAAAAGGTTGTTATAATTTAAATATGACTAGTGTAAATTCAAGCTCTACACTAGAATAAGTTAAAGGATTCCTCATTCTTCAGCGTTATATGTAGCAAACAAAAACCAGCTAACATACATGTTTATCTCTTTTTGGGAGAGTAAATTTGTTCAGCGACTAGCATATCAGATGTGAGAAGGTTAACGACTAAGGTAAAGCGGCTTCTCAATTTCAATATTCTGTCCGTTTTCTAGCTCACGGATCGACTTCGAATAACCTCACATTATTTGTTTTTTTGTTGTTAAGTGCAAAGCTACACAATGGGCTATCTTTGCTCTGTTTACTATGGGTATCTAAACTCGAATTTTAGAGTTATAAACCCACAGACTTTCCGGGGAGCCATTATTTCTTTGAAGAAACAATCCGTGACTTGAAATACTTGAACTCTAGATTAAGGGTCAAAGTTCTCCTTATCCTTTCTGTGTTGGAAACTTTTAGAACGATTTAAATTAAACTTAGAGTAAATTTGAAAATTAGAATTATTTGCTTACCAAAGTTTTTATAATAACCCTTTTTTCTATGTTAATTTCTTATTAGTACGCTCTTTAAAAAATAATAATAATTTATGAAAATATATTTAATTTTTATTTTCCAAAATTTGTATCGTATTTTGGAGGGATTTAGACATGTTGACAATAAAGTTAGAACAAAGCGACCTTTACTCTCCAAATAATAATAAAAATCTTATCATTTCTGCCAACGTTTCGCCATTTCGGCTTTCTGTAGCCGTGGTGAATACGCAATAGCGAACCGTTGGCAGAAATAAAGTTTTGTTTTTATTGTTATCTGAAGAGTAATGGTCGTGGTTTTCTTAAATTTATTGGCATAATAAGTTGTGAAATTAAATAGTGTATCGTAATATTTTTATTGTTGTTACTACTTGCACTATCACTAAAGACTTTATTAACTATACCACTTTTAATTCTAGGCAATAAAACATTATGTGACGAATTAATGGAATTGAATATGTTTTAAACAAGTTGAAATCACATGTTGAGTATGATTCCGTTAATTCTAAACGAAGTCTAACTATAATATGTGATGTAGGAGGTATATATTTCAAATATCCAGACGTCACAATCACGGTGGTAAAGTTCAGTAAGTGTTAAGTCAATTTACATGCTTTTTGCTATCCCCTTCATGTTTGGTGCATTTATTTAAAATGTCGCACGTGTTTTTTGCTTCTTTTTTGGTGTTTGAGAGAAACATTTTGAGATTTAATGTAGCAGGGATTTAATTGCTATGATTTTATCGGTTTTTCGGGTCAGTTTTTGTATGTTGACATACAACTTTACTTTAAATCTCAGGTTGAAACATGTGAAACACACACACACACAACAAATATTGCTATAACTGATATGCAAAAGAAAGTCAGCTTTAGTTCTTGCTGTTATTAATTAACTTTTAAATATTTCAATACATAATTTTCATTAACTCGAAAATATAGTTCTGTAAACAAAATAGAACTGTTACTCTGTTTACAGAATAAGATATATATCATAAATATTGTTCTTAACACATACATACATCTCTCTCGTGTGTGAGCTTTATAAATCATTTAGTAGATATACTGCATTTTCTGACTTTATTTGTATAATTACGCTATACTGTACTTAAAACACAGCAAATACAACATTATTAAAAGACGGCAACTGAGGCTAGAAATAATATCAAAAAACTACTGTAGAAGTTACAGCCACTCCCACTTCTCAGAGGGAGTTGCTTAAATATTAGTGGTGGGTGGGCCTGTGAATTCCAGACTGATGAGCTGGGATCGAATCCATACAAAGCTACAATATTTCCCGCACTTTAAGCTCTGGGTGCGTTATAAGTGTGACAGTCAGTTATTAGTGTGGATGGTGAGCGGTAAGGTGCTGCCTTTCCTCCGGTCAATATATCGTTCAAAATTAGGATATGTTTAGTAGCTTAGCTATAAATACAAATCACAATTACTCAAATACACCGTTGTAGTTGGGCATAAGAACCGAAAACGCACACAAGACAAAACATAAACAAATACGTAGATGGTGTTAAAACATTATCTAGAACTATTGAGGATATTAGTTGAATCACTTAGTCAAGATCATAACTTTATTCATCCATTAAAACGGAGTTTTCTCAGACTGGGCACCCACCTATATTGGGGATGGGTACACACATCGACATTCCGAACCGGAAGATACCCTTACTTTGAGAGTAACTTAAGTCAAACTAACTCACTTATAAGCGGCTATTAGCATAGGTAAAGGTTACTTTAATGCATTAAATACGTTATATGGACTAACTGTAATAATATATGCGAGAAAAGAGTTTACAGTTATTTTCGGATGCTTTAATCTTTGTATACTATTCGTTCTTCCGTATTATGCAATAAAAGACAATGAGTGTCACATATATTACTAAAAATAAGAACTTCTAAAACAATGAGTGTCACATATATTACTAAAAATAAGAACTTCTAAAACAATGAGTGTCACATATATTACTAGAAATAACTTCTTAGACAATGAGTATCACAGATATTACTAAAAATAAGAGCTTCTAAGACAATGAGTGTCACACACATATTACTAAAAATTAGAACTTCTTAGACAATGAGTATCACATATATTACTAAAAATAAGAACTTCTAAGACAATGAGTATCACATATATTACTAAATATAAGAACTTCTAAGGCAATGAGTGTCACATATATTACTAAAAATAAGAACTTCTAAGATAATGAGTGTCACATATATTACTAAATATAAGAACTTCTAAGACAATGAGTGTCACATATATTACTAAATATAAGAACTTCTAAGACAATGAGTGTCACATATATTACTAAATATAAGAACTTCTAAGACAATGAGTGTCACACATATTACTAAAAATAAGAATGTCCAAGATAAATTTCAAGCCACATTTTATATAAAATACATTAAAAAAGAACTAGTTTATCCCTAACATCGCATTTTTGAAGCAAGTTTTAATGTTTGTGTATTTATTCACACTTAATCTTTAATAATTTCTTAACAAAAGAAAGCTAGTTATATAGACCAGAATTTGCAAATAACGTATAAATTAATAAAACCCATTCTATAAAATAAAGTGACAAGAAATACTTAATTCAACATCCAGGAAAAGTAAAACCTTTCATAATTAGAATGTTACATTTACTTATAATACCACTTCTACTACAATATTCTATCAATGTTACTGCTGTTTTCTAACAGTATAATTTTAATGCGATTTTCTGATAATGTTGCAGTTAAGTTCTAATGTAGTCTTCTGACAATGCAGCATTTTTTTTACAATGTACTTTTACTACGAATAATGAACAGAAATCGTGCACAGTTAAAAACAAAACTGTAAATATAGAATTATCTTATGTCATTGGAATACATAATTATACTTGATATTTTATGATATTATTTCTGGCTTCTTATTTATTTGTCCTGAGTATTACCCCAACCTAACTTGTAATTAATGCTCTTGTTATATAAAATGCTATATTTTATACCTTTTATTTCTGATGGGACGACTTAGTTACCACCTTTTAAAAATTAAAATAAACATTGCAGTATTAATAAATCAGCACTCATAATAGTGTTGGACGAAAAAGAAAATAAACACCAGGTGGAAAAATACGTTGGCGAAACATGGAGTAAATGAGATGCACACACGTAAAAAAAGAGTCAGTATGTTAAATACAGGGTACTCGTTAAAAACAAAACAAAAAACATTTGTTTAAAGGTTGGGTTCAAGCTCAGACAATATGTATATAATTCACAAAATACCGCATCACATTGTCATAACAGAAGTTACAAACAGCTAGCAGCTTATTGACATAGCACGTGAAAGTTGACGTAGACTAAAGACTAACCTGCTAGACAAATCAAAGAATGATTATATTAGGCTTGTTAGCTGGTTCTTAAATCAATTAATTTGAATCAATCTTTTGTCGCCTATAAATTAAAATTGAAGCAGCAGTGTACAACGTTGTGAAAGACAGTATTTTTCAGATAATATTAGTAGTACTGCTCGAAGATATTAAATGAAAACAGAAATATTATGCTTATATATTCAAAAAACTCTGTAATACTAAAACTATTTTATAAACGCTAACTCTGACTGATGTATGTTATATTGATTTCAGTACATTCTAAATAACCAACCTTTAAATAATTTATCTTCTGTTGGAATATTCAATAGCATATATTTATACAATTTATTTTATAATGTGTACTTATACGTCTTTATAGAACTTAACTTTTAATAGAAAAAATTATAAAGTCATTATATGCATAAGTTATTTTATACTATAACAAAAACTGTTTTTTCTTATAACTTATAATTTGGTAAAATGTCCAGATGTCAGTCTTTGTATAAGTTATATTCCTTTATTAGGCCTTAGATTTAACCTTTATCTTCTGTTCAAATGTTCTAAGTTTTCAGTGTTTGCGTTAGTTATTTCTTTTAAAACCCTACGCCTGATGATCCAACATATTTTAACTGTTAATAACTTATACAAAACCTGATGATCCAACATATTTTAACTGTTAATAACTTATACAAAACCTGATGATCCAACATATGTTAACTGTTAATAACTTATACAAATTTTGTATAAGTTATTAACAGTTAAAATATGTTGGATCATCAGGTTTTGTCACATTATCTTTTGTTTCCTTCTACGAATACGCCGGATTGTGTCATCAGAAGTTTGATTTCTTTAATGTGTTTTTTTATTTAAATTATGCTATACCCAAATGTTTGCGGACTTACAACGCTAGAATCCGGGTTTCGATACCCGTGGTGGGCAGAGCACAGATAGCCCATTGTAAAGCTTTGTGCTTACTTACAAACAAACAAACCAGAAGAAGCCTCAATAAGATGTCCGTCTATAAGATATCGGCTCAGGATCCAAAACTGGACGCTGTACTTCTTTCTATATTATCTATTTTCTATTTTATCAAACACTCTTCTCATTGAGCGTTATCGAAACCTATCCTTGCTTCTTTTTTTTTGGTCGATCAGACCCTAAATTAATTTTTTATCGACAGTTATCTATTTTTTTTTCATTTTTCAGTGCTGAAATTTGTTGTCTTTTCCTTCTAATATTTAACTTATTTCTGACGGAATGAATTTCTAATATTGTACTTTTTCTGGTTTAACAATACTCTTCGAAGTGTCTCTCATATTTATAGCATATCTGCAGACATACATACATATGTTACCTGTATTCTTCATATCATATATCTGTATTTAGGTTTTAAAAACACCTGGATATCTGTAACTCTTTTCAATGATTTTAATTTCATTATTCTTGGTTTCACGGTGTGCTGCATAATTGTGATCCATATCTATAAATTTATCTTAATGGAAACAGCTGGTTTCTGCTGACTTTAATTAATTAATTTAATCAACTTTCCTGAAATATCGTAGCCGCAATAAAAAGGAATATCTTATTTCTGGGAAACTTATACTCAATTTTTGTTACTTGTCTTTCCATCCGAACTGTTAAAGAAGAACATTCATACAATATTAAACCGAAATAAAAGTTCAAGCTCTGACTTACTCTGTTTTGAAACCAAACTAAACATTTATTAGTGATAATATTTGGTGGATTATAAATACTGAATGTTAGACGTGAGAAACTTCGGGGTTTTCGCTGAACAGCCTTCACAACAACTAGAAAAAATCTCTAATATCTCACACAGTTTGCTTCATTAATGCAAAAATCGTGTCCCATAAAATTTGAGTTTCATTAAAAATTATGAAGAAAATCAACCCATAAAATTAAAGCGAGTGAAGGATAATGGATGTAATGTGAAGTCCTGTCCTTATAATGCTGGCGGCTATTCTCTTGTTGTTTTGTTAAGAATATTACATACCAAACTTTATATTTTATCTACAATGTATTAAAGATAAAACAGATGGCAGATCTCTTGTTAACACAGATATTTTGTCGTTAATTCCTATAAAATTAAACAGTCATATCCCGTTCATTTAAGTGGCAAAATAAATTCTGAAACATCATCATCGTGTTGATAATTACCTTAATTAAATAGTATGTCTCTTTATTTACTAAATACTATAGCAGTGTAAGTATCACACGTTGAGCAGTTACAAACTGTATGTGTGTTCATACATTCATTACCTTACCCTTTTGGATCACATATATTAGATAATCTTCATTTTTTGTTCCTGTTCCTACCATTCAAAATTTTAACCTATGTTTATATATGGTTTACATATATGACAATTCTAACTTATGTGTTCACATGCTGAACGACTCTTACAGCATATGTGAGTTCTGAAAGTGCTAACCTTTCTGTATACATATATATGATGGTTTTAACCTGTGTGTTTTCACAATGAACAAACTCGAACACGTATGTTTACAATAAACTGTAATTCATCTTATTTTCTCTCTATCGTTTGCTTTATCAAGAAGTATTGAATACAGAAATTTAATAGTTCCTTTTTAACTATCACTATAATGACGAAATTTATCTTGTGTAGGGACGGCAACGACAGGACCAAGAACACCAGTTATGAAATGGACACTGGCCAAGATACAGAATCTGAGACCACAGAGAGAAATGATCGAAGTTCGACTATCGACCATTTCCTCCAGACATCCGATTCAGATCAAACGAACAGTCCAGATGAGATATCATTTACCAGCGATATAAAACCAGTACTTCATCCGGTTACCACTCTTGGCTCAGTTCCGGAACTCTCACCCTCATCAGCTCTTACAGGTCTAGCTTCTTCTATATCAATGGCCCAAGTCCTACCTTCGCCAAACGAAACCATTTTCACTAGTGGTTTCCGAATGGATGGCGTTCCAGAAATACAATCTTCTATATCTGGAGGATTTCTGAGCTCACAACTAAGCGACCTGGGTTTAGGCCTCGCAAGTGCTTATCACTCCTTATGACGGCCTTTTACTTGGACCTAAAACTGTTTTCGAAGCATGATCGTGATTATGCATTCCTACAAATTCGTTTGTATGTACTTATATTACACGGTTAAGAAACATTTATCGTCGATTGGTTGTTGACAAAGGAACTCCAACAGTTTTAAACTAATGTAGTGTTTACTCTAAATTCTTTTATTCAAATTCAGGTTTCGTCCATTGCGTTTGTGTGCGTTATACACATTCTGCTTTTTCCTCGCTTACAAGGCCAGTAAATCTGTTTACAGGTGACTTAAAACAAAGGATTACAGATCATAACAACTGCTCAGATATAATAACATATGAGATCAAGCAGCACGCGATCTAAAATCCACATCACTTTACAGTCACGATGATGTTGATCCTCTTCCAACAGCAGTTAAGGCTCCGTGGCTCCTACGTAAACAACTAGCTTTGTATTTGTGGTTTTTGTATAGATTGTTTTTTTTTCTTTTTTTTTTTTTTGCTTACACATCTCTACGTTTAACAACACGTTAGCCAGAAGCACCAGTCTTCACTTTCCACACAATTAACTTGATCGTGTAGTCGCTCCAAGAACAGTTGTTGATAGTTTAGCCTAACTTTGTGGGTAGTAGGTGAAAAGGAGAACAGTTTTGGGTTGGTAGTTTTGTCGAGAAATGTAAAGCGATCGTGTAGTCGCTCCAAGAACAGCTGTTGATAGTTCAGTCTAACTTAGTGGGCAGATGATGAAAAGCAGAAAATGTTGGGGTCTGTAGTGTTGTCGTGAAATGTACTTCGATATTTGCAACAGCTACTGTGATTATAAGATAGCGAAATGTAGCGATATATCTTCCTTAGCAATGTATTCTATATGCTCTGTTGTAAAAAAACAACAACAAAAAAAAATCATTAAATAAATCCATTGTTGCAATATTAAAATAAATATATTTTCAGTAACTTATTTCTCCAATTGGCTCAGCGTGAAGTCTGAAGGCAAATAACGCTAAAATCTGGGTTTGATACCAGTAGTTGGCACAGCACAGATAGCCCATTGTGTAGATGTGTGCTTAATAACAAACAAGGTATAACTTGTAAGTATTTTAAATATTTTAACTTACTGAGACAAATGTTTAAAATGTGCAAATGTTACATTTTTCTTGAAATTGCGCAGGGTAAAATTAATCAACTTCAAATTGATAGGTCCGTGTTATATTCAATTACCTTTCAGTTTAAATAGTACGTAAGAAAATAAATTGTGCATAGTAGGTTGTACAGGTGGCACTGCTTTATAATAAGATTGATAGGAAAGCATTTATAGTTATGAAACACGGGAAATTAACAGTGTACGGAGAAATTACAAAAATAAAATTATTTGTTTTTTCTTCTAAAGCACTAAGCCAAACAATGGGCATTCTGTGCTCTGCCCCCAGTGGGTATCGAAACTCGATTTTTACCGTTATTAGCCATCAGACTTGCCGCTGAGCTACCGGTGGTGGGGGGGGGGGTGTCAACAAAATTCTTTACTATCTTAGATATTTTTAAAACTATGGTATGATATCCAAAAAATGTCTGGTTTTATATCATGACATGCAAATCAATGAAACTGACCTTTAAAGCTCTGATAAAGCAAGTACAACTGTCATGTTTTACAAAATATCTATCCAAGTATTTTTATTGGTCTAAACAATATCCAATGTTCTGTTTAGTTACTACAGACATAGTAGTTAACATATAATCCATTTATTTTATTTCAAAACAAACTTATTATTATCAGAATTTCTGTACGTAAGGCTCTGTTAACCATCAAAACTGTTCACTACAGACAATATCGTATACCTTATATAGATTTTATTTTCAAACATTTGGAACTTTAACTATTTTTAACGCAAAAAAAAGACGATCTAATGATAGTTTGTTTGTCTGTTGTTAAACACAAAATTACACAATTTGCTATCTGTGCTCTATCCATCACAGGTATCGAAGCCCTGATTTTAGTAAATAGTAGTAAGAAACCTTTTAGTGTCAAAATATGAATACTATAACAGATGAGCGTAACAATTATTGCGTTCGAACAGTGGCTATACTGAAAAAAAGTGTAGAGATTATGGAACGTGTTACAACACTCCATAAGGTGAGAAAATACAAAATACATTAACGTCAAACAAAAATAATTAACAAAACACTAAGTAAAACATAGCGTTATCACAAAAACAAGATAAGAAAGTAAGGACACTAATTGTGTTTATTAAACGTTTCGTTTAACGAGGATCCTATCATTCATTAGCAACGTACAGAAACGAGAACGAATATAATTACAGCAAAAAATATACACGGCTAAGTACAAAAATGCAAAAAAAAAATTCTCCCTTCTCTCAACAACACATAATCTTCAAATGCTCTAATTTCAATATTGTTGTTGTCTTTATTTAGCTCTGTAGATTTGTTACCGTAATTATTATTTTCTTCTGATTTCTGTAGATTACTGGAATATTGTTATTACGAAATTTGATATTCAAGTAAAACATGTGGTACCAAGACAAAACTAGTTATTATGTTTGGGTAAGAGTTCAAGCCCCCCCCCCCCCGAAAAAAAAAAGATAGAAAAAGAGAGAATTATATTGAATAAATAACATCTCCTGATAATAAGATGATTTTTGAGTCGTATTTAATATGGTTACATTAAGATGCAGTTATAGACACTGAACTTATAAGACCTAAACGCATAAGCAAATTTAAAAAGAAAATGAATAAACAAACTAGGCATATTTAGGCTTTAACGGAAACTAAACTCCCAACTCTGAAGCTTTTTAAATTTCCCATCATCCACTACTTCACGAGTAAGGGTTCAAGTGTATTAGCGCCAAGTCTGTAAGTCAGGGAGACATTTTTGTGAGTTGATTCCCATGCAAAGCTTTTTTGTACTTTTATTACTATTATTTAATTCTGAATAGAGATTTGAACTCATTGCGATATTTAAAATCTTAATTGTTCACAGGGATAGGGGGGGGGGCTTAATTCGCACTGGTTTCCAGGCTCTAAAGGAGTAAAACCCATACCCCATCCAAAATACAACCAAAAACACGTTATTCGTCACATATGATGGGCAATATAAAATATGATTCCTCAGCTCTATAAAGCTGTTTTCTCCGCGTTTTTTTTTTTTTTTGCGAGTTCTGTTAATATAAATGATCGAGGAAAGCTTACATCCCACTGTAAGGTGGCTAAGTGCGATACCCACAGGAAGTGAACATTTCGAAGACTTATACCAATTTGTACAAGGGAAACATAGTCCGGCCAACCTCCTTGAACTCCGCATCTTCATGGCCGAACAATATTAAGAGGTGAGTTCTTTATAGGAGTACTTTTTAAAAAAATTCTAACTTGAATACCATAATTTACGACACCCTTTGTAGTCCACCCAATTCCCAGAATTCGATCTCATGGACTTGCAAACTAATTGTTGGTTAAGTATCAAGTAAATCGATAGAAAAATTAACCACACGAGTTGAACTAAGTTCAAATATTATAGATTGTGTCAAGATTTGATTAACGATTTTTAAGCAGTCTAATTTTTGAGAGTTTATTTAAGCAATACTGCACAGTTTAAAGGTTTTGCTTAAAACAAACATCTCTTGTGTTTACTTCGCAAATGTTACAAACTTAGGCCAACTATATTTAAGGTAATATGTTTGATCGTACAGTAATGTTTACGTTTTGTTAAAATTACTAGCCAAGTTTTTACACTTTTAAGATTAAATATTGTTGTTGTTTTTCTAGTTTAAGGATTTTGTTTTTACTAACTCTAGAATTTTTCTGTATAGTTAAAAGCTTATTGTTCAAGAATCTAGAAAAAAAAAATCGTTTGCACTGTCATTCGAATGAGCAGTTATCTAGATAGTGTTCTCATGGCTTCACTATTAACCAGGTGAACGGCTATCCGAACAGTGTTCCTATGACCTTACTGTTAACCAGGTGAACGGCCATCCAAACAGTGTTCCCATGGCCTTACTGTTAACCAGGTGAACGGCTATCCGAACAGTGTTCCTATGGCCTCACTGTTAACCAGGTGAACGGCCATCCAAACAGTGTTCCTATGACCTTACTGTTAACCAGGTGAACGGCCATCCAAACAGTGTTCCCATGGCCTCTCTGTTAACCAGGTGAACGGCCATCCAAACAGTGTTCCCATGGCCTCACTGTTAACCAGGTGAACGGCCATCCAAACAATGTTCCCATGGCCTCACTGTTAACAGGTGAACGGCCATCCAAACAGTGTTCCCATGGCCTCACTGTTAACCAGGTGAACGGCCATCCAAACAGTGTTCCCATGGC